CTATTTATCTGTAATAAAACGTTTTTTATGTTCATCTCTATGTATAATAGGAATGTTAATTTTATTTTTTTTAAATGTCATCATACATTTTTAACTAGCTTATAAAATAGAAAATGATATAATTATAAAAATGACTGGCCAATAACAACTTTTAAACCAGTAATTCCGAAGATATTCACAATTTTGCACCTTGGGTAAAGAGCGGCCAAGAAATGACTAATAAGAAAAATAACACCATCCTCGCTTCAGCTCCAGTCTATATTTTGAAATGCTAATAATTTCTAAAATATTAAGCAAACATTTGTTATTTTTCAGTCATTTTCTATTTTATAAGCTAGTTAAATATATAGTTAAGATAAATTAAGTTGACACTCCTTTAAGATATAAGTGATGGATATGTTATAAATTATTTTATAACAGATAAATGTAAAACACTTATGTAACTAACAAAAGCATAAAAAAAAGAAATTCACAAAAAAAATATTCATTTTTAGATAAATCAAGTGGCTAGTGTTAAATAATCACCTTGTATTTAGAAAATTTTCCACAAACATTTCAAAATTGTTTTAATTCAAGATGATCATCTTGCTCCAAATGTGAACTTGCTTTGATTTACCATATGCAATTATATTAAATTCTCCAATTAAAAATTTTGTGACTAACTTAATTTTATATAAATTAGAAAAAAAAATTTATTTCGCCACTTCTATTACTAGGAATGTATTTAGAAATTCAAAATGCATTATAAATTTTTTAATTGCTATACCTGTTAATGAAGCACGAAAATTATTTTAATTGACAAGCATCTGTGAAAACTTTTGTGACTATTTTTTACTTATTTTAAAATATTTATAAGCAAAAAAAGTTCACCAACATTTTTATATCAGCATAGAATATTCAACGAGGAGTACTCGGTCCCTGCGCTCTCCTAAATGCGTTATTGCTTATTTCTTATTCTGGACAGCAATTAATTTATCAGTTAAATATGTATTTTACTGAAACAATTCAATTTTAATTAATTTAAACAATACATATTGAGGTAGTCGCTAAAAAATGTTTATTCCGACTATACATGTGTAACCGCCTAATTATAACATATATATATATATATGTTATAATTTAATGGGCGTCCCCGTATTTAATTAATATTTTACAGGCACTTTTTTAAATTTATATATATATATTAGGCTGGTCCTTATTTTTCAACTTCATAAATTCAGAGTCATGGGCTCAAAATTTCGTTAGGTTCACTAAAAAAATGAAATGGGTAAAATTTGAGTACAATAAGTCAACCCCTTCACGTGCCCTAAAGGGCTTGAGAATGCCATGGGTTGTCAAAACATCCGCATTTCAAACTACATTATCTGGACCCGGATAGACTTTGGTAACTCTACCGATACTCCATCTTAATGGTGGTAGATTGTCCTGTTTAATGATCACCAGTTCATTTACTTAAATATTAACCATCCGCTCACGAGTCCAACCATTGCGCCGTTGTAAAGTAACCAAGTATTCAGTAGACCATCTTTTCCAGAAACTCTGACTTAATTGTTGTACCAATTTCCAGCGATTAGTTTAGTTGATTCTTGTGCCGGTAAAATCGGGGGCCAGAACATCCAATAGTGGTCTACTTTTTAAAAAATGTCCTGGATTGAGACATTGTACATCCGCGGGATCTTGGCACAGGGGTGTCAGTGGTCGAGAGTTAAGTATAGCCTTAATCCTTACTACTATAGTGTTGATTTCCTTGTAAGTTAACACAGAATTTCCCAGCGTACGGACTAATAAAGTTTTGGTAGATTTCATTGATGCCTCCCACAACCTTCGAAATTAGGAGCACCAGGAGGGTTAAAATGCCATTGACAAGGAAAGGCTATTTATATATATAGATTTATAAATAGGAGTAATATAAGATCTTTTCCAAATATTCGGGAAATATCCACTAGAAAGCGATAAATTAAATAAATAATGTAGTGGTTTGACTAAAACTGACTTACAAGCCTTTAAAAATGACGAAGGGATTCCATCAGGGCCAATACCTACATAAACACTTAATGAATCTAACATATCATAAATTTCATATTCTGAAATATGCAAAGAATTTAAATTAAGAATTCTCTCAACTAATGAACTATCATATAAATCAATTTTATTAGCATAATCTGTATAAACAGAAAATAAATATTTTGCAAATAATTCAGTTGTTTCATTGATATTTTTAGATACAACTGTATCAAGATAAACTGTATTAGGTATATTTGATCTATTAGTTCTCAAGGACTGGACATAATGCCAAAATGATTTAGGATTTACATTTACCCCATTTTCAATTTTTTGTATGTAATTTGCATTAATTTGACTATATAATAATTTGCATTTTTTCCGAAGTTCGGAAAAAGTTGAATAATCCTGTTGAAAATTTGTTATTTTTAATTTTTTGTAAGCTTCTTTTTTTAATTTAATTAATTTTCTAAGGGCTGGATTTGACCATATGATGTTACAATTTATGTTAGGATTGAATTTAAATTTAGGGACATAAATATGCAAAATAATTTCATACAACTTATCAATAGACGAGTTTAAATTTAAGTTATTGAAATGTTGTATAATATCTATTTTTGAGAGGTGTGCACCTATATTACTTAGTTTACATAAGTTAAAATTGTAAAATATAAGAGTTATTGTTTCACTAGGAGTATTAAAAGATATATTCAATGAGCAAATAAACTCTAAAGGGGGGTGATAGACGTCATATATCGGTGTTAAAGATGGACCTTTAGACATGTTCAATATATTAAAATCAGTAAAAATTAGATCTAATAAATTTTTATGAGAATTTCTAATATTATTACACTGTTTTAAATTAAGATAATTTATAAGAATATTAAAAAAAATATTAGCAGTAGTATTTAGCATAGGGTTATTGATTGACCACACACAACCAGGTAAATTAAAATCACCTATGATTATTATTTCCGAAATGAAGTAAGAAGAAATAGTATCTTCAACTAAGTTACAAAATGAAATGTAACTTTCTTCACTAGTATTAGGTGGAAAATATACACAACTTAATAAAACTTTTCTATTATTATAATTTAGTAAAACAAATATATAACATATATTATTAATATTTTCTGAATGTAAAAGAACACAATTAAATTTATTACTTATAGCTATTAAAACGCCACCCCCTCTTGTTTCACGACTTATATCACGATCAGATCTAAAAATGTTATAATTTTTTTATGGTTTATGGTGGAAACGGCTGATAAGAACCAATTAACTCCACCGCGCATTGTCGCCTAGCTCGAACAACATGACTGAAATTACAAAAAGCAACAGAACCAAAGTATTACCTCAGCATAAAAACACATCAAAATGTCTTTCATTTTTGGTACAGATTTTCATGGACATGTAAAAATTAACGATAATGTTAAAGTTTTTTAAGTTGCTTTAGGCAAGAGGCAAGTCCATTTTGAAGCTAAAATAATGGAAGGTAAAAGTGCAGTATTGTTTTTGCTGACAGAATAAGTTTTTCTTTTTGTAAAAATCATCACTAATTGAAAATGGCCGTCTAAAACGATAAAATATTGCTGAGTAGGAAAATGTGACACCCCCAGGTCCTTTTAAGATAGTTTTGGCAAGATTAATGTATTTTTTGTTTACTTATTTCAAAAAAATTGTTTATAAAGGACTAAGTCTGAGATCATAATAACAAACAAATAGGTCCATTGTTTTTTTTACTAGAAGACATACAAAAGAAAAGGATATGCGTTTGGGTAAAACAAAACAATAATATAATTTGATATGAAATTTAGGGTTTGATTAAGTTCTTCATAGGCACTAATTGTAAATACATTTACTGTAAACTATCTATTTTTCAACCATTTTTCAAAAATTCAGACATTGATTTTTACTGAAAATGGTGTACTTTAACAAGGATGTTATAATTTTTTTTTTAAATTAATTTAAAAAAACCCAAACGACATCTTGCTCACCAATGGTTGAGATACTATTATCATCTTAACAAAATCTTTTGTACATATCTTCTACTTCATTATTGTCATTAGTATAATAATTACTCTTTCATAATTATTATTATACATTGTTAATTTTGCTTTTATTGTTCGGAAGTTTTAATGTGGACATTAAACTATTTAATGTAAACTATCCAATGTACGTATTGTGTAAATAGCACAAATTATAAATATACTTAAAAGTCATCATTTTAATGAAAAAAAAAATATTTGTAATCCTAGTGTATATAGTACCTAAAAGATGATGGAGTTAAATAAAATAACACTAATAGTAACAAAACTATACATTATTTGTTATATTTTAATGTAAAGAAATTTTGTTTTTTATTTCTTTTGATATATTAAAAAAGTATTTTCGTCTTTTTGTTGCAATGAACATATCAATAGCTCTGTATTTGAAAAATAATTTAAAAATCCAAGTCAAAAATATAAAAAGATACGTTTAATTCATATTGGAGGATGTAGTATATTTTAAATAGAGAAAATGTTAATTTTATTAAACTTATATTTAATTAATTTGTTTTCTTTAAGAAATAAGAATATCCAATTATACGTTTATTTTAAAATTTAGTTTTTCTTTACTGTTATAAGTAAAATTTATTTGACATAACAGATTTATCAAATTATAATTTTATAAATCTTTAATTATATATATATATATATGTATTAAAAATAATTAATTATTTATTTTTTATATATGCTCATATTAGTTCTACTCGTCATCGAAAAATATTTAGCCATAAAATTATTTTTTTACAAATATGAATCTATTTTTACCAAAAATAAATTATGAGCTGTAAACATTTTTCACACATTTATCATTGTTGCAATTAATTGTGCTAAGCATATAATTATATCATATATAATTTAAATATAATCTTTTTTCTATGATGCTAAATTAATCATTATTAATTTTGCCACCTGTGTATTTTATATTCGATTACTCGTATAATTTTAATATAAAAATAAAATTCTATTACATATTTACAACTTTTTAAACTCAAGAACATATTTTAGACAATACCATTTTTGTTCATTACTGAAAAAATGTTACCTTTAAATTTTATTATAATTTTTCAACTTATATTTTCTTGCATTTTTTATATAGAAACGGAATCAAATTCAAGTAAGATAATAGATACTGTAAATAATATTTTAAATTGTCCTGGATGGCGTTATATTAAAGACATCACGTCGGTAACATATCTAAATGAAAATTTTGATCGAAGTCTAATATTTCCCCCTAATATTTACTGTTCGGTTAATACTAGAATACGAATATCGACTATCTTACTTGGTTGCACGTACGCAAATGATTTAAAATCAATTTTTTATTTATTATGTCAACTACGTCGGCATTGTGAATATTATAATAGTCTAGGAATCTATAATCAGTATGCAGTAAATTGTGCCTTAGAATTATGGAGTCTAATACCACATGTATTTTTCCTAGTAAAATTAATGCAAAGTGCAATGATTGCTTTGGATAAATTGCATACTTATCCTGTGTTATGCAGTGCACAGGACAATATTATTTTAAAGACCTTATTTGAAAGATTCAATTATGCTCATAATAATATGTCCAGCATTAACACATTTCATCTTATTGGTGTGTTTTTTAATCAAGTATAAATAAATCTTGACAATGATATAAGAAAATTTTGTACGTTATCAGAAAATATAACTTTATTATCGACAAATTTGGACCAAGAATACAGAGTGATTTTTTTATCATAACCCACTCAATTACTTGCAGAATAATAATAATTTAAACATTTTTTTTTTATTATTATCTTTAGTTACACACTATTCTTGAATTTTTAACTATGTAATACTTTTTAAGTTCATCCCTTATGCCTTGAAGGGGGATCAATTTTGTTTTTTTAAATGGTAACACATATTTTTAATTTAATAAAATGTTTGAGTTTTTAATTTAATAGTAAATGACATTTGAATTTTTAATATAACTTTATTAGCTTATTAGATATAAACATTTAAAGTTTCAAAATTTTGAGTTAATATACATGTATAATACACATGGGATTGTAAATACAGGTAGCTAATTGGATTTTTATGACATTGCTGTCTCAGTCACGGATTGTTTATTATCAATTATGATTATCAATAGATATACTTTCTGTTTTGTCAGTTAGTGTATTTATAAACTCATAACAATGTGCCTTACTACAATTGATAATAACAATGCTGTGTACCTGCTAATATCGATGTTATAAAAAACCAATTAGCTACCTATATTTGTAATCCCTTGTGTATTATACCTGTATATTAATTCAAAAATTTGAAACTTTAAATGATTATATCTAATAAACGAATTAAGTTATATTAAAAATTCAAATGCCATTTACTATTAAATTAAAAACTCAAACATTTTATTAAATTAAAAATATGTGTTACCATTTAAAAAAACAAAGTTGACCCCCCTCCAAGGCATAAGGGATGAACTTAAAAAGTATTACATAGTTAAAAATTCAAGAATAATGTGTAACTAAAGATAATGAAAAAAAAAATGTTTAAATTATTATTATTCTGCAAGTAATTGAGTGGGTTATGATAAAAAAATCACCTTGTATTGTTCGATCCATAGTTTGTTTTTTTTTTTTATTTGAATGTAGTATAGTGATAAGCGCGTTTATCCGGTGCGTACCGGTTTTTTCGTTTTTGTAATAAATAGTCGAACGATGTCTCGTCAACGAAAAGGACGGCACGACGTGCACGCCAAACATGTGTATATAAAGTAAAGTAATAAACTAAGTTAAAGGTTTAAGTTTATATCGTTTTTTATTAATTAGATAATTAAAAGTAATTTCGAACGGTTTTATACAGTCCACTTTAAAAACGTAACAAATATAAAAAAGAAAAATCTAAAGATATTAATTTACAGTTTTATAGTTATATAAGTAAAAATATAAGTGATAAAATCCATTCAATAATTTCAGAAAAGTACTATCAACTATGATTCAGCGACATTGGTATATTGTTAAATTTAAATTCAAAATTATTTATTAAAAAAGTATTTAACCTTAGCTTAAGATTTCTTTTTAAATATTTGAGAATGTAAAAGTATTTTACGGTCGCTTTTTGAGACACCTGAGAGTGGTTTATTCAGAAGTGTGTTATGAGGAATGTATGTGTGAGGATAGGGATCTAAGGTAGAATTTGGATGCTACTTCGTTGACTGTTTTCAGTAATAAGTTATTATGCAGTATGTTGTTTGGAACGCATACAGAAGTATATATAGATAGAATATAGAAGTTATAGGTCAAAGTGCAATAGATTGAAATGCTTTAATAATTTATGTGCTGAGAAGATTTAGCACACCATCAGACCTGAACTTCATAAGCCCAGACTGGTCGTATAAGTTATTGTAAAATAATATTTTGTTGTTTATTTTTATTTTGTATGTAAGTAGAGGTCAAATATAAGTATAAACTTATTGTTTATTAAAACCAAAAATTATACAATTTTTGGTAAAATTAGCATATTTAGAAGTTTTTTTTTTGTATAACAACAAATCATTTAAAGTTAAATCAAATTTAAGTTTTTTTTTATATACTTATTAAAAAAGAAAGACGTTATGAGTAATCGTCCACTTAAGTTGATAATTATAAAATTTTGGCGGATATGATAAATCACTAACTATTTGAATAATCCTTAATCAAATCAAATTGTTCAGTGGTAATATTTAACACATCTTTATTTCAATATACATTTTTAAAAATCCAATCATTCACCAAGGTTCTTTAGTGGTTAAAAATCATAACAATTTTTTCTAATATTAAGTTTTGATAATGTTCAAAAAAACTTACATTTAACCTAAAATAAAAATAATGCAATGTACTTTAAGATGAAAAAAGAAAACTATTCAAAATCTCAATTTATGGGAAGTTTCAGACATTGAAAAAAAAAACATATAATTTTTGGTAAAATTAGCGATTTTGTAATATTTTGCAAATATCATTCTATATATTTCAAATTAAAGTTTGTTAAATGCATTATATGATTACAAGAAAAAAAAATCCGGTGACTGCAAATAATAGGTCTCTAAAGTCAAATACCATACAATTTTTGGTAGATATGTTAAATATTTTTTAATGTTTCTAATATGCTTCTAAACATTTATGAAAGTGATTTTAATTATTGACAGATATCAATAAATACTAATCTAAAAAATACCATAATTCCATTTTACTGTCTTCCAACTGCACATTACTTTTTAATTATTTATTTGATTATAGATGCACGAAATGAACCGGAAACTAAGAGACCTATTGAAATTGATTTCTTTAAAAAAGAACTCAAAAAAAAAAGAGGTAAAGTATCTAATAAAAAATTTATTTTGCGATTCCAAATAAAAGAAACTATAAGTAAAAGAAATAAAGTATTTAAATATTTGTTTTTATAAATCACAATTTTAAAACTTGCTCATTGATATATAGAATAAAAATTTTGCGATGGTCAATCAATTTTAATATTTTTTACTATAAATGAAAGTACTAGAAATGGAGAATAATTCTGAAAGCGTAAATAAACCAATATCCACTAATTTTTCCAATCGAGTTATACTGACAAAATATGTTTTGATCAATCGTTTTTAACATTTTTAACTATTTTAGATAGGAGGAGTCGTTCCGAAAGTGTAGATTCTTCAAATTTTTCAGGACCTTCAAATGTTTTTGACCAAGGTATAACGATACAATACGTTTTGATTAAACAATTTTAATATTTTTTTACTAATTTAGAGAACGAGAATAATCCTAAACTTGAGGATAAACCAGGATTCATCGATTTTTTCAATCAAGGTACCTATATCGACAAAATATCGAATATAAATAAAAGTTCATTTGTTATTTTATGTTGTTCCAAGTTTTTAGCTTTGATGTGTAGCTGCGAAAATATTGGGATTGTGATGGCGTGTGCTTATTTTTATTACTGTTTATGAAAAGAATCAGCTTTCATTGAGCTAATTTTAATAAACAATACTCCAAAAGAATATTATTATTATATTAATATATTAATCTAATTGAACTTCAAAGTACCAAAAATTAAAAAAACCCTCAATTTTAGAAATTTAAAAAATCAAATTTAAGCTAACGCAAAAAAAACCATTAAAAATAATAAAATCTTCATTTTAAAACTATTATAACTTTTTTTTTAAGTCACCGAACTTAAAAAATTTTTAAAACAGTTAACTAGAAGTAATGAACTTTCTCATAATATGCTTTTTGTGAATATATTATGATATACCTATGTACAGAGAAGATTTAGAAGTATAAGTCAAGCGTAAAACATTTATTTTAACTCAATTTTTGACAATATTCTGGATGGCTTGATAATTTCTAACCTATCTAGTTAAAGATTTTAAAATTTACTATAATAGAAAAAAAATAATCCATGATTGATTGTTCTTTTATAAGAAATTAGCTATAAAAGTAAAAAAATCAATAGAATGCCGCGACTGTACTGTGTTAGTTTTTTTAAATTTCAGTTTTGTAATATGAAAATATTCACTTTAGAAAATTTGTTTGTTATACTAGAGTTAAAAAATGATTCCAAAAACAAAGAAATCAGTGAAGCCAAGCCTGTGGAAGAAGAAAAAAAAAATATACCATTTCATGTTTTCTTATAAGTAAATTTTCATGTTATAAAAAAAAACAAATTTTATATATTCAAACTATAAAATTGTAAAAATTCAGTACAAAATAAATAAAACATAATTCGTGTTTCAGATATTTTTAAATAACATTTTTTGAAGCTGATTCAATCGTTAATTTATGTTTAAATACGATATTACTATAATTGTTTTTATTATTTAGGTATAATATATTAAAAATGATATCATTTTTAATTCAAAATAGTTGTGTATATACAAAAATTCGTATAAATAAATTAAACATTTATTTTGAAAAATGTATTATTTGGCAGTAAGGTTATATTGAATATTTTTTACAACGTAATAATTAAAACTCAAGAATACAATTAGTATCATCAATGTCAAATTTTTACTGAATGACAAATAATTTTAATGGCACACCACGACATCCAAATTTTTTGTTTATTATTTATTCCACTCAGAAAAAATCCTCGATCTATAATTTATCAATTTGATAAATTTATCATTACTATTGAAACTATGATACATTTATTAATACGACAGAGAAAAATTGTAGTGGTTTGTTCATCGTTATAACAATGTTGATATTATTAAAATAATAAAATACTGTTACAATACAATAATTATAACTTTGTCATATTGATAAATTCATCGTATTTCTGACGAATTATTATTCTATATCTATATTACTTTGATGATGATAAAATAATTTTTAAAGAATTGAGTAAATTTTTTTTTTAATATGATAATGAATTTTTATTAAATTAACATACTAGTGTACAAATAAAATCCCATATTAAATTATAAATATAATCTTCATTATGGTTGTAATTTACTTAGGTAAACACGATATTTAATATATATTGAGTAATATTTATAATATTATAAATAATTTAATGAACAATATTTAATTTTACAATAGTAAATTATAAATAAAACTTGTACACATGTGTATTTAAATAGACATATAGAATATAAACTGAAACGGTGTATTTATCACATTTTATTTTTTATGAATTTTAGTAAGAAAGCTTACAATCTGTTCATACATTCGATTAAATTAAAAATTAATTTAAAATAATAAAATAAAAATTTATAATTTATAAGAAGAAAAGTATAAAGTGAAAAAATAAAAGGATTTTTCAATATAATATAAAAAATATATAATAAAATTATTTTACTATTTTGATGAGATCCTGTAATACTTGTTTAACCGTTTGATGGGATTAGTCGTTTTTTAAAAATAATTTATAGTAATATTATTGAATAAACGTCCAGTCAGCGCATGATAGAAGTGGCTATTCTAAATTAAAAAAGTGGAATATTTAAAAGCCGACATCCACTGCTTTTATTATTGAAAAAATTGTGTACTTGATGGCATCAAAATATAATAATATGTCACGTGGTTTTAAAACCGTGCCAATAATTAAAATGAATGGTTTTACTTTGTAGTAATGAGATGTAAGCTTCAGCTTGGTCAACTGTCTCATGGAAACTAATGAATGAATTCTGAGACTCCTTTATAAAATATTTAATGATATATTTTTTTTCATTTTCATCTCTCGTCACTTTTTGCGATGTATTGTATTCTTTCCACCTGACTAAAAAAATAATTAATTTAATGCTAAAATATCCTTTTTTTAAACTGCTAAAGTATTTTTATTTATATTTATAATGAAGTATTATTACTTTGACAAATGTCCGATTTTTGAGAAATCTGTTCAACAAGTAATTTCTTGGTAAGAATCATTAAATGAATCGACCATCATACTATTACATTTGATTAGTTGTTTAAAGTCAATATTCACCTATAAAAATATAACTCTTAAATTAAATTTTATGTATAAGTAATACATTCCACTGCGGAAATGAAATATTTAAATGATAGAATTTTATAATATCTATAATATCCCTAATGTCTTTTTCTTCTGGTTCTAAATAAATTAATGATTATTAATAAAAAAATAATCTCAGAATAGTGGGGTCGAGGCATAGTTTGTCTGTAGGGTCGTTTGTGCTGATCAGGCACTAGTATAGTTGTTAATTGTTAATGTTTGTGAAGGACGAATAAACTGTCCGTAACACATCTATTTTTCAAAAAGTTATGGTAGTTTTAAATAAAAAAACCCAACACCGTGCTTTTAACAATTTAACAGTTTTTTCAAAACTGTTTTAAAAATAGAAAAAAACTTTTTTTTCTATTCTCAATGTCTGATTCATGAACCTAAGAAGTTTCATATTTTACTTTATCATAAAAAAACCTAGCATAGTGAGGTCACAGCACAGTGGGAACGTGGCATAGTTGGGTCAAGTATAATGATATCTATCATAGTATTGGTTATGTTGTGGCTAATTGTAATACGAATAATTACGGATAATAAATATTTACTTTCAATAACTTCAAATTTACGTAACGTTTCTTTTTCAAAGTATTGTGCACATTTGAACATTTTTTATAAAGTTTTTTCGGTAAATTTGTAGTATTTTTCGTGACAATTCAAACTGGAATAACCGAAAGTTAGCAGAACAATTATATCAATTTTATACAAAATCAAAGACAGAATGTATAATTAAAAAAAAAAATTATTTTTTTAATTATATTTACAAATAAATAATTCAAACTTGCTTTAATCTCTGAATTAAATAAAAAGTTAATTTGATCAGCAATACTCTCAGCAAACTTCACTGAAATGGTAGTTATTTGAGAATAAATAGTAAATAATTATATCCACAATTTTCCTCTTATTGAGTGATTCAGTTCATTGTGCTCTTTAAAATAGTCCAGCACTAATAAGCCCTTTGTAGATTTCATTAAAATAGAATGATTATCTAAAAATTTGGTTAAGTCATTTTTATATGCTGTAGTAATCAATTGTTTAGGAACATTAAGCTTATTCTTGGACACATTTAATGTGTTTTGCCAAGTACTTAGATGATTTTTAAATTGAATTTTGTGTCCCTAATGAATAATTTGAGAGAAGTTTATCAAATAAACTTTGGGTTTCGTATGGCTTAATGCATCTATGTCAATACATTCACCAGGAAAATATTATAATTAGGTATTTATTAAATAATTTAACAGTAATTTATTTAAACGTTACACTAAATTTTGAATAATTTTAATTATTAAGTTATCCCATTATAATAGGAATTTTCCTTTATGTAAATCTTAGATATTTTTTAATTAGAAAATATTTTGATATTTTTTAAATGTACAGAAATAATGCAAGTTTTATAAAATTAAATTATCAATTAATATTATATTAGTAATATAGTTAGTAATTTTTGCTTTAAAACAATTACTTACTTATTTATATAAAACATCAACCATATACTTTTTTTAAATAACAATTTATTCTAAAAATCTACAATTTTTTTTTTTTGCAATGACAAAATATTTTTCACAACAATAATTAAACCTGTATCATTTATAAAAACATATTTTCAAATTGACAAAGACTCCAAATTTGATACATTTATTTCTTGTTATAAACAATAATAATTTATAAGAATAATTATTTTGTTCGTTTTTAAAACATTAATTTATAATTTTAAAACATTATCATAAACCCTTAATAAAATTTCTCTATCAAAATTGATTGAGGTTTTTCTTTGGGTGTACATTCACACATATCGGTTGTACTTCTGTACAAATACATACCGCGAGATCATTTCACTTTAATTTTATTACTACCAGTATACCTCATTTCCATATATTTTAACTTTACTTACTTTTTGTTGAATTGATTTTTAGTATGAACCTAAGTTACATGATAGATAACTGTAATTTTGAACATCAAAATGGAGTCCCACTGTGATTTACTAATTTTAATATTAATTTATATAGTTAAATCGGTAAATCACGGTGGAACACTGTATATTAAATTCTTTAAACAAGTTAATAAAAGGAACAAAAAGTAATAAGGTCACTCATTATCTAGAAATTTCGAAGCAAGAAATTTTAAGAATTTTTTGGTATTACTTAAGTAACATTTATGAGTTATAATTTAAGACTTAGAATTTGGTAACTCTTAGGTTAAAGTAGAAGAAGGGAGAAAATCGGGCATTTTTAAAATGCATAGTGAATGTTGTAATAAATATTACATAGGAAAAACATAGGGATTAGGTTTGAAAAACACTTAAGATTTAAAATCAAGAAGTTAATAAATCTTTTATAACTGAAATTTAATTGGCAAAAAATAAACCCAACCAAACTCCACTAAAACTGTAAAACTCATTAAAATCGAAAATAAATACAGAGAACATGATATAAGGGAGGCAATATAAATGTATAAAAATAAGAATAATTTAATTAAGATCTTGGCTCAATGTAAAATTCATTACTTAATTTGTGTAATTAGTGACAAACGTCAAGTTGATAACTTTACTAGGTGATAACATAACTAAGTGATAAGGTCACTAGGTGAATTTTTCGGTTGATGTGTCAGTATGTGTTTAGCTCTGATAATGGCATTATTGTTGTCAAAAAATGAATACGCTATTTTTTTTTTTGTAATTTTTGTGGCTTTTTGAGTTTAATATTTTTAATTTGAAATAATATTAGCCTTAAATGATTAATTATTTTTATATAATATATCAAATCATAAGTATTTATAAAAATGTTAAATTAGAGAAAATTCTTTTTAAACGTCATTTTATACTTTTTTAATAATATATGTTATATTTATTACACATTAATGTTAACAATATCTATTTTCTAATTATGAATTTTACCCTAGATATGGTAAATTGGAATAAAACTAAAGAAATACAAGGATTTATTAATTTTCTTGAATATGATAAAATTAACTACTAGAAATTAAACACACATGACATAGTTTATGTAAAAATATAGGCGTAAATTGATAAAATTGTAAAAAAAAAATATAATCTCACTCAATTGCAAATACTTGCGAATAAGACATTTCTTTGTACCTCTATATCTTCTTTAAAACACACAAAGACAACTAAAAGAAACTGATCCCCATTACTTTGTTTATATAATAATAGTTTTTTTGTTGAGTTAATTTTTTATATCTAATTCCTATTACTTCATTGGAGGAAACATTTGATCCAATGAATATTAATGAAAATAGAGCAATATTTTTAAATTTCCAAATATTTGAGCTATCAATATTATATAAGTCTGAAATTAAACGTTAAACATTATTTTAAAATGTTGTTATAATTTATCTGTTTTTTAATTATATCCTTAAATAGGTATTTTTTTATTTTTAATTTAGACTCCATTAAATTGAACTGAAATTTAATTATAAAAGAAGATTACTTGTATAGCTAATTAGTATTTGTAAATAAAAATAAATAAATGTATTGTAATTTATAAATATTATATATATATATATATTTAACATAATATGTTAATACTATATTATAGTATTATTTTGTATAATACAAAATTCAATAGTAGTAAATAGATGACGATTTATGAAAAAAAGTAGAAAATTAAATCACCATCATAATAAATACACTTTTCAATTTTTACAATAAATTATAAATCTTGACTAGACATCTCTTTCATTCGTAAAAAAATCTACAATTTCTTAATTTTAGATACGAAGTATTAATTTTATAACAATATTTTTAAAAATAATATCAAAACACAAATTTTAAAATTATGTCGACACTATTATGTTTATTTTTAAACATAGATGTGTGTATATAACATTTATTTTCAGTCTCATAACTTATTAGTAAAATTAATAATAAAATTAATCTACATTTCCCCTTTTTCAGCGAGGAACTATTATTCTGTACCCCCGTTTCCTTAAACATAAAGTAAAATAGAAATAATATATAATATTAAAGTAAAAACGATTTTTCAGTTCAAAAAAACTATTTAACAATTAAAACGACTATTATTTATAATTATTTACATTTTGGTGTTTAGTACGCGTGACACGTGTAACTCCATTAAAAATACTAATTTGGCATCTATCTTTTACAACATTTTTGGACCTATTGTAAAATTTACAATTCAAATTTCAAATTTTAAAATTCAAACTTAATTTGTGAATACTGGTAATAACACTGTAAAACTAGTGTAACCTCAGAAGTTACATATTTAAAATGACTATCATACGGCAAAATTCATTAACGCTTCTTCATCAAAAGATTCTTGGCTAGTAGGCGGTGTGTCAAGTTGAGGCAAACCAAAGTCTACGTATTCTTGGTTTGCTGTGACTGAAAGAATTTGATCTAAGCTTTCTACTAGTTCTTCAAACATAGGACGCTCGTTTGGATGATAACTCCAGCAGTCTCTCATTATCATATATCTACAAATATAATATTTTGGTATAAAATAAAGTTCCAAAAATGTATAATTACAAAAAATTACATTTCTAAAGAACAGCATGATGGTTTTTCCATTCGATGTCCACTTTGGAGCAAATTGAATAATTGTTCCATATTTGGTACTGAAGGATAGGGTGTTCCTCCTAGAGTCATTATCTCCCACAATAGTACTCCGTAAGACCACCTACAATTATTGAAATAAATAAATAAATTATAATATTATTTTAGTATAAGTACCTACACATCAGACTGTGTTGTATATACTCTATGAAATAAAGCTTCAGGAGCCATCCATTTTACTGGAAGTCTTCCGTCAGTTGTTTTTCTATAATACTCTTGGTTTTGTACATCCCTTGCTAAGCCAAAGTCCGCAATTTTCATTACATAATCTTCACTGACCAACACATTTCTAGCAGCTAAATCTCTGTGAATACACTAAAATTAAAATATCTAAGTTAATATCTACTTTAGTTAATGTTAATTAGTAATTTTATTATCTATTTATTGTACTATATTAAATTAAACAATGAACATATTATTTACCTTTCTGGAAGCCAAATATTCCATTCCTCTAGCTATTTGATAAGCAAATGATACCAGATCTTTTTGAGTTAAAGTATCTTTCAAGTTGGATCCAATTGCAGGTTCATACCCGGATGACGGCCTATGTTGCCTCAAAAAATCTCTCAAATTACCATGTAATGCAAATTCAACTAACACGTATAATGGTCCATCTTGTGTACAACATCCAAGTAAATTAATTATATTTACATGTTTACCGATCATCTTCATCATTTCCATTTCAGATACCAGATCCATCATTTCTGTATCAGTATGCCCATCTGCAAAATATTTAAAATCTGTTAATAATATTACAGTTTTAGACAATACAGGATCAAAAAAACCTAATACCTTCAACTTAATTAAATGCATATTTTGAATTTTACATAAATATTACTAGTTACATCAAATAAATTGTATATAATTAAACGTTATAAAATGATTATCAGTGATCATTTTTTATAATTTTGAAAATGTATAAAAATACTTTATTTTAACAGTGTAATAAATTCGACGATAAAAATCAAAATTAATAATAAATTAATATGATATAAATATTCTTATTACCTTTCAACATTTTTACAGCTACAGTAGTTATAACGTTATCACATAATATTCCATCTGCTTCACCCCTCAAAACTTTTCCAAAAGCGCCTTCTCCCAAAGTTTTACTTAATGAGAGATTACTTCTAGAAAACTCCCAACATGGATCTAATGGCAACTCGTACTCTGACAAGCACGTTTGATTTTGTAATTTTGTGTATTTGCTTTTTTGTTTTTCAATTTTTACAACCGGCATGAGCTACAAAGTAAATTTTTTAATTAGTTTCTATTTACACTTATATAATTTAATATTGTATTTATTTTTTTACCAGTGGGTCACTAGCATCGGCCATTTGTTGTTTCTCGATAATGATTTTTTTGGTCCACTGAGTTATCATAGCATTTCTAGCCGATTCTCTCGCAACCAATTCTTTCAGTTTTTCTCTTTTTCTCTGACTACATACCAACAATGCAATACATACTGAAATTACAAATAAGAAACCGACGCCTAGCGAAGCCAAATGATAAGTATGTATCTGTAAAGCTTGAACTTTTACTGGTGCTTCCTCCAATTCTAAATTTTAACAATGATTTTATTTTTTAATACCGTTAATATAGAATAACAATTTTTAATTTAAAACTTACCATCCACTACTTTTAAATAAGCACTGGCATATGTAATACCTAAACTATTACCAGCTACACAGGTATACCATCCTTCGTCTAAATGTGTTACGTTGAAGAGTTGTAAAATTTCTGGATATCCTTCTTCATATGCACCATTCTAAAGATATTATAATTTATAGTTTTTAAAATATTAAATTAAAAAAGTCATAGCACATTTAAAAGCCCAACAATACAAGCGATACTATTTATTTATAATTGTTATTTATTTGCGCACAAAGCATGTTAGTAGATTAAAAATGTAAAGCGTTTTCTCCAAGCATACCTCAACCTTCACCATATTTGTTAAATTAATATTTTCGTGTACATCTAGTACAACTTCCCCAATATACCATTCGATAAATGGATGCAAGTCTGATAACACCTTGCACGCCAAAGCCCCAGTACCACCCAACACCAATGTGAGATTTTGAGGAGCTTCTGTAAATACTGGACGATGATGTAACCTCTCTATAATCAAAACATGTAAAGATGTCATATGTTATCGCTGTATACCAAATATTCCAAACAATTTTACTTAAATACCATCAACAATAAAATTAAAAATAAACCATATCCTTAATGATATAATAAAAAGCCCGTAACAATCAAAACACTTTATAACCTTCGCGCATGCCACCTGTATTTCATATGTCATGTGTTAAATACCTGAATAACAGTGCCGTTATTTAAATTTTCATCGTGCACATTAACCACACTAGCATTGTGAAAAAACCACTGCATGTGTGGTTCGAGATCAGCCAAAGGTGTACACTCAAACGTAACGTTCCCAGAGACCAACACGGTGGCATTATGTGGCTGCCCTTCTTTTATATAGGGCTTATGTGGAAATCTTTCTGTTTTTATTTTTTTAAGATTTAAATTTAAATTTGATTTTATAATTTATTCAGATATACATTTAAATTATATTAAATGAAAAGATCTTATTGTAACTTACCGATAACTTCAACTTTGTATGTGAAATCGATGCATCCGTATTCGTTACATACATTGCATGTGTAATTTCCAGAATCTGTTGTTACTAAATCTTCTAATACAATTGCCCATTGTGAGTACCTAATGATACCAAGTTTACGTTGAGGCGGATTGATACCATCCTTAAACCAAGTTATATTTGGCAATGGATTTCCTGTTTCAAATAATTAACTTTATTATTTAGCAATACATAAATAACTTAATATTGAAAATATCCCTTACCTTCTGCCGCGCATTTTAATTTCAACATATTTCCTGCTGGTTTAGCAATAACTTTATGCATATTTTCAAATTTAGTGAATTTTGGTGCCATTAACTTTTCGGTATCATTAAAAAATCCAGTTTTTTTTAAGCCATCAATGGTTTCAACTTCATCAGCTATATAAATAAGAACGAATGTAATTAATAAGTTATTTAATAATTAATACGTATAGAAAAAGAAATCATTTTGTTGTATTATTACCTTCATTAATTAAATCTAATCTAGCTCCTGACAAAATACGAGTTTTTGGCCCATTTAAACTACACGCGTACCATCCAATATCATTCTCAGTCATTTCATCAAGAATCAATACGCCATTAGACGACTTTACCTATTTAAAAGAATACCATTAAATAAATAATTTAATTGATATCCACAAATTATAAATTTTACAAATAATTTACTCATTTAAATGAAAATAATAATAATAATAAAAATAATAAATTACTTTTTTGATACGACGGAGATCTTCTATTTTAATCTCTTCTGGGCTACTATTATTTAAAAAGTACCAGTCAATTTTTGTTGTTAATTGAGGATTAGATGCTTTACAAACAAACCATGCTGTTTCACCCAATTTTAATGTTAAATTTTGTGGCGATTCAGCTAATATTGGAAGTTCACTTCTTTCCTCTGAAATAAAAAAATGATTTAATAAACAATTTTTACTATGAACTTAACTTTTTACTATGGATTAAAAAAAATAATTACTATATACTGCAATGTTAAATTTATGTTGAATTGATCCGAAATCGTTCTTGATTACACATGTGAAATTACCCGAGTCATTTATTTTTACTCGTTTCAGGGTATAGTTAGCTACATCTACGTCTCCTTGGACAATGATTTCATCGTTTTTAAACCAAGTAAAAACAACTGGTGATGTGCCTGTAAAAAATAAAAAATAAATTGTTTTAAGTCAACTATTAATACAAGAAAGTCAATCGTAAACTTTTAAAAAATATAGGTACACAAAAATTATGCGGGAAACAACAATTTACTTTTTTAATTGTTTAGTTAAATTAATAACTTTTATATAAAAATATTAAAAAAATGTTCATAGTAAATAAAAAAATCTTGATTAGCCTATCAAAATATTTTAATTCAAATAATATATTATTCGAAAATAAAATTATGACTATTTTTGTAAATAATTACTTTCAAATGGACAACTTATAGTACGGGTTTCATCTAATAAGAGCATTATATTATTGTCCAAGTGGGGTTTGTCGATGAATTTTGGTTTAGTACCAACTTTTCGATGTGAAAGACTTTGAGGAGATTTCGATTGTTTACCAATACTTGATTCTTCAGATCTTTTTGATACAGTTAATGTAAAATTGTGCCATTTTTCATAAATTCTTTCACTTGAGGAACCACTTATGAAACACGAATATTGTCCTTCATCGGCAAATTTTAAGTGTTTAAAACGCAACCTATAAATGCAGTTGAATTCGTAAATAATTTCATAGACATTAATTATTATAATTAAGTCATGTTTATACCATTGAGATTTTCTTGTTATTCTATTTGGGGAGTCGGTGAATGTTTCATCATCTGAATCTTTTTTCCACAATACTTTGTCAATTTTTATTGATTCGGGTACATCGCATTTAATGTACAATCGATCCCCTTCAACAGCAGGCACCATGCTTATTTCATCTAAAAAATAATTACACATCACAATAGCATAGATTTTTAGACTTTATTTTTTTATAAATAAGAAGATTTATTCAAATGTAATTAAAATTTTACTTTTTTTGTAATTGAACGTAGTATATTTTTTAATAATATTTTTTCATACAGTGATATTTAAGGTTATAAAACGTATTTTATGTGACTGAGGTTAGTTTATTTTCGAATGAAATTACTTTACTGAAAACAAAAGCCAACCACAAAAGACACTTTGTTGAAAAACTCAAATACATTTTAAAAATCAGGTAGTCTGGTTAGGGTTAATAGCTTTTATTTTGAAATCTTACACTGCTGCGGTATAATATATGTATATTTTTAAACTATATTAAACAAATGAGGGGTACCAGACATTTACAAGTACTATTTTCCCATAGCAAAATACAGGAGCCATAAAAAATCACCATGAAAACATCGAGCGGTCACGTAATTTCATTCCTGGACATACTCCAAGATTAGTTTTTTCTGTCTAACCTTTATATATTTTTTAGTATGATTTTATATATTTTATTTTATAAAGGCCTCACAGAAAAATGATGGATTCAATTTGTAATTTAAATTTTAAACAATAAACAATGCATACATAATGATGCGTATATATATATTTCAAAGTTTTTAATGTAAATCAAATCAAATCAATTAATGCAGTATCAATCACTTATGGATTAACATATATTTTTAAAAAATAATTAGCAAGATCTATCAAATATTTTATGACCCGTCACCATATTTTTTAATGCATTATAATTTTATAGAAATATAGATATGGGCTATATAATATTATAGCACTACTTTATATATACATCTAAAAGAAAATTATAAGTCTGGCAGCGATATTAATGAATCATAATATGCACATGTACCATATGTGTCGTTTCCTTAGAACTCTGTGACTAATAAGTACACAGACATCTTTAGTCTTTTTAGTTTTGATGTAGATTTATGAAGGTATTTTTGTTTGTTTTTGTGATCTAGTATGCATTAAACGCTTTTACAATATTTAAAACTTATTTTTTAACGGTAAAATAAAAACTAATAAATAAATAGATTTTAACTCGTAACAGTAAAAATATTAATGATAATTCAAAAAGTATCATAAATAACTGAAAGTTTGTTTTATAATAAGTTAAGAATTTTATGATATAAATTTTATATTATTATCGTAGTAATATTTTATTATTAAATCAATACCAAATGTATTGATATTACAAGATGTAAAAGGAAAAAATATCTTAAAGATAGATTAACATAAAGAATACATATATGATTCTATGCGTTTCATCATTAATTCACAACAATTTTTTATTTTCCATACTATATTGTTGAAAAAAAGCAAATATTTTAGATAAATTTAATATATGTTTCTGTACCTTGTAGAATAACATTTTTTGAACGTGTTTGTAGACACAATCCGGTGGCCAATAAAAATATTACAATTGTTGGCACTAAATTTGAAGGAAGCGGAATCATTTTTCTAAAAAATAAAAATAAATGTAAATTAAAATATTCATAAAATGTGAAATACTTGAGTCATAAATAGTATAATGTATTACCAAGTATTTGTTACAAGTATGATTTTTACCTACGCAGTAATGTGTTCTAAATTTAAAAAGTAACCACTTGGCATTCAAGTGGGAGCCTTAGTCAGATTGGTTTCTTCCGTCCTTTCTTTTTATCTCAATTTACATGCTCAGCGTATGCTCGATTATTATATTGTCTCCTCAACACGCTCGTGAAACGAGACCAGACGACCAGAGGCCTTATCTCTCCCTAACCGAATGTTGTTAATAAATAAACGGCCATTAAACGATTAGGAGCGGTTCTAGAGCTCTCATATTCAATATTTGTATATCTTTGCGACTCGACTGCCGAAGACACAGGGTATCTGGCAATTGAGTTAAAAAAACCATAAATATATAATGTGTTTTATCTCACGGCGTACAATGAATAAACGTTAACCGTCGGTATTATTTACAAAAAAATCAAACATTTAAGAACTGTTTTGATCGCACAGATATTACACGGTTTTTCTTAAAAAATGAATAGGATACCTAAATGTTCTGCATATGTACGGTGATGAACTTTTACTATCTTGGTTTTTAATATTAACTAAAATCCCGTTTAATGATAGGGTCCAAATGATAATTACAACTAAGTACAATTACACCAAGTAACAATAGTTCTAATAGGATTCAACGGAGACTTTCGAGGAAAAATTATTACATTTTCAGTAATAAAACAAAAATGTGAACAACAAATTACTTTGTAGTTATTATAATAACGAGCCCAACCCACCACTACGATGGAGGGTAATATGTTACAGTTTGCATAATATGTATATTAAACGTGACTAAACATGGGAATATGATTACGAGCCGCCACAGTCTAAAATATCAAAACTTAAACATAGTTTTATTTATTAACCTCGGTGGATTGTAGAACGATATAATAATTTTATATGGTAAAAAAATTTATATCGACTTCGCTTTGTATTTTTACTTTGTTAAAACATATTTTAGCTACCATAAAACTCAACCTACGATTCTCAAATGGTAAACAAACCTACTACGTGTTTAGGTTGTAAAGGTTGCCTATTAAATTTCTAAGTTTTTAGTTTGTCATTTTGAAATAAATTTTTCAATTATTATTATTTTTTCTAAATAATAAAGTTTGTCCGATCAGAGACAGAAATCGCCGACAACAAACCACTTTGAACTTATCCGTTACACACACACGCTCTAAACCATGTTTGTAATCACTGTAATCGTTTTTTATGGTCAACTCGGATCGTAAAATATATACTTTTTTTCCGAATGGACACCCATAAGTGTAACGTTGGATTTTTTTTTAAGTGAATTATTTTTGGGAGGTCCCATTACAAACTATTAAATTATTATTGGTATTGTTGTTATATAACTAGTTTCCCCTTTTATTAACAACAAAACCACCGAACACACGCACTAGACATTATACGGGTACCCTGCGAACGCATTGTCCTGTACATTTGCAAGGATACGCTAAATTGGAAATACTTTAGAACTCTTAAATGCGTAAAAAGTATTCAACTCATTAGTACAGAACTTTTTTTTTAGATTAGCGTAAAAACAAATTTTTTGACGTACAAACACGGTGGCTGACATTAGCTGCCTACTTATGTGTACTATTCTAGTCACATACATCATAGTATGCGACGCTATGTCACCTTAAATATGACGCCCAAAACTAACACAGGATTTACTGACGACTTAAAAACTCCGTGAAATCGATTTCCCCTGCTTTCTGGTACGTGATTTAAAAACTCAATAGTTCTTATTTACGAAATTCGATTTGAAGCTAACAAAAATACACAGAGTATAATGTCTTTTGTGGACGTGCTACGGCTATATTAATTAATAAATACAAATATGCTTTGTATTGACGGGCACGATATATCTTAATCGTTTACAAAAGCGACTACAAGCAGAACAAAAAACGTCATAGTGCACGTGTGATACAATAAACACTATCAGTATACAATAAAGCATTAAGTAAATAAGGTGTTTAGTATTGATTTTTATTTTTACTCGTGATTATCATTTCATTTAAAATTTAAATTGAAACTAAACGATATCGTACGGCATGTGGATCAACGTCAGAATGTTTATATGATTTTTGTTTACTTACCCATTGAAATCATTAAGCTCAAGTCCTAGAGTGTAAACATTAATAATAAACCTTTTAAAAAATATATTAAAATCGAAATTGAAAAATATACACGAGGTATGCATTCAAAATCTATCGCAATTAAATTAAATTTAAGTAATGATGGCTTAATAACAAATTTTGTTATTGAGCCTAATATTTTAAACCAATTAAAAATCCAAAGATATGATTCCATAAAATTACAACTCGACATAATATGATTATTTTCTTGATTAACATTTGAGTATTTTTTGGATGAATGGCTAAAGGATATATTACTATTGATCTAGACGGTAGACTTAGATCATTTTAAATAGTTATTTGTTAGTTTTATGTCTGAAAATACAAATATTTGCACAGTCTGGACATTGATGTTTAATCATATGTTTACAAAATAAATCTACTGTTATCATTATAGCGCGTTAAATTTAAAAAAAACAATGGTATGTACTTGAAACAACTTCATTGGTAAATTAATTTAGATTATCTAATCAAAAATAAAGTATTAATGGATTGTTAATTGATTTTCCAAGTAATAATATAATAATAACAATTTAAATCTTAATTTTTTATTATTTCGAGGATGTATAGCTAGTGAACCGTGTTTATACTTAAAATTATCACCAAAAATAATATTTAATAATAATATAGGTATAAAAGCGCTCAGCTCTTTCCTTATAATTATAATATCAACATTGGAGACATTGTGGTGATACACATCTTGTAACACTGCCATACGTGTACCTACAACCCCATTACAGACACCTTAAGGTCGGGAGTTGTCATAAATCCCTTTTTTACCAGGCCCGTCAATCAGATACGCGATGGAATACACATGTGCATTGAGATACCATCGTTAAGTGCGTGCGCGCTCGTCTTGAATATTATTTTTTTCCTTATAACGACATGTAAAACATTATTATATTATTATTATTATTGCATGGTACAACCCCCGCGCACATAAGCCCGAGGGCCTCTGCGGACATAATGTAATTACCTTGTTTGGTGTGTCCCCTAGTATCAGATAAATAGATAGTAGACTCGTCACAACAGACATCCACAGCTATGGGGTGGAAAGTCATTACTCAAGCGCCACTATACAAAAGTACTGAGCTCTACAATATCGTGTGGACACGCGGGTCGGTTTCATTAACGTCAAACTCTTTTCGTGTGTTTTAAATTGTCATTTTTTGTTAATTGTACTGCCATTCGTTCTACATGTTCTATTAATTTTCTCTTTTTAATTGATCGTTTTTATTTTCGTTATTATGCACTGAAATTTAAAATACAGTTAAAAACCGTATAAGTAAAAAATTGTAACGGCATTATTGTAGCCCCTCATAATCAGTCACCCTTAATGTGTCAGAAAAACGGTAAAATGTCAACAATTTAAGAAAGAAAGAAAAAACCCACAATGTTAAAGAAACGAAACACAACGAGGGGATTTGTTTGAATAGGAACACTCAACTAATAGATGTATGTTCTGTGGCCACCGCGAGTAATTGAATAATAATACAATAATTGAATCCTATGGTAAATAAATTAACCACATTGAAGTAATTTACGTGGGGAAGACTATATACTTAAACAATGTAACTGCCTCCGGACATCAATAATTAACAACGTGCCAATTCAATAACAAGCAAAAAAATTAAACAGCAATGAATTATTACTTACATATACACAATATTTATATATTAGCGGCGTGTGCGCGCGTTAATTTTATCTTGTTAATGTCTTTTGCAGTCTTTATTTGTCTAATTGCTAATGTTCATGTTTGTTTATTCTAAATATAATCAATTTTAACTATACAATACACGAATCTTGTTTTGTGTTATTGCACTAAAGTCTGTAGTAAGACATGAAATGTATTAAGTAATAACCTACTGTAGAAATATGTAATCGGGTTTTGCGTGTGGCACCAGTCCACTCCTTCGATCCAACTATTAATAAATACAGTAAACATAATAATTTAATAGAATTGAATGTGCTCGTCACGAGGTCACGAGGTAGTCGAGAAAGAATTTTACGAATTAAAATTCATAACAAACATTTATGTCACAAGAACATTGTTAGTTATGAACGCATATATTATACTTATTATTAGACTTATATATTTCTAGAAATAGATAAAAAAAAAAAAAAACTACTTACATTTTTTTCAACTAGACAATCAATAACAAATAATTTTAAGACAAAACTTCAAAATAAAATCATTTATTTGTAACGATTGATTGTTGTAAAACAATGTAATGTTTCGAATATGAATTAAAATATCGAAGTGTTAATTTTAACTAATAAATTAAATAGCTTAATTGATAATCAATTTTAAAAACTTAATGCAATATTGCGTTCTTCTTAAACCAATTTAATTCATCAAACAATTAAACATTTGTTTAATTGTCCGAATTATTCATAACTTATAAGTAATATATAATACTATATACATAAAATTTATTTCTTATGAAGTTATTAACTTGAATTACTACAATTGATAACTAGACTCATATTTTTATTGTCACTGTTATTGTTCAAATGATTTTCCCCGAGTATATCTACTATGGGCATATTTACTTCGAGAGCCAACTGCACTAACATTCCGCCAATAATTTATTCAAAAACGATTTTATTCTCAAACTATAAAACTTGAATAATATTTTGAATTACAACAAAACAATATTGTGAACGGTCAACGAGACAGTAACGTGTTTGGATTGAATCTGTCGTCGTCAGGCTACGGAGTAAGCGAGAAAAGGAAGAACACCAAATAACCTCCTCGAGTAAATCACGATTATTGTCTCCAACAGTTGTGGTGCAACAATAGTATTCTGATTATTAAAAAACAAGCAGATAGACACAGGTAAATACATTGTGTACACAAAATTTTGTCACCAAACGGCACCTGTAAATTATCGTCGTTCATCCGGCACTTATTAAGCAAGTGGGGCGGGTGCTGCCGACAGGTAGATTATTATTACGATTATTGTTATTATTTATATATAATTTTTTTTTTTTGTTGGTGCTGAAAAAATGGACAACGGCCACTAGAACTCTTAACAGATAACGTTCTCGGGGTACGTGCATCGTTAGTGTGTTGTCGCGCAACCATATACACATTACATTACTTATATCTTTCCTTGCTTGTTTATGATTAGTTTCCTTTTTAATATTCCAAAGTGCACGCGTTGGCTACCAAGTCTTTGATAGGTAAAACACGCATTCGCGTCGAGCATAAGTAGCCACGTGCTATGTGTATTTTATCGAAGTTTATTTATAGATGTACTCCTTAGGTATGTCGTATTGTCAAAGTATTATTGAATTTCAACAGTATTCTTAATGTTTTATTAAATAATTCCTATATCTGACTCATTGCTGCTCAACCCATAAACTTTTTCATTACTCCATTTTTTTGTCTTGTATTCATGACCGCTATTCAAATTAAATATTACTATGAACTTAAGATTGTGAAATCTCTTTTAGTGTTTATCTTTGTAACTTTTGACGCAAATAAATATTATCTTTATGAATGACGATGCTAGCACATCGTTATGAGGGACTGTCACAGTGTAATTTATTTAATGGACTCAATGATGCAATTTTAAAGTTTTCGCCGTCTTTTTTATTCATGAATTTCGTATATGATAGTTGTGAATATGTCCGCAAACTGACATTCTGAGCCGGAAACGATTAGCGAAGGCGCTGACGTACACACGTGTGTTTTGACTTGTGACCGACGTTGGGGAAGTTTGCTATGTGATGTACGCGTGTGCCCTTAATTTTAGACCCCAATACTTAGACCGAAAAAATAAAAATATATTAAAAAATACTACCTTTGCTTAACGACCCTGAACACGTGGTAGACAAAATTCAAAGTACAGATAAAAAACTTGGAATTATTATTATTTCGATAAACTTCTAATAGACATAATTATACAACGTTAACTGCAGATTGATACCTACCACCCGTTCTCCGTGAACGGCAGTGTAGTACACACTCACTGTTTATATTGTTGTGCAGATATCAACAACCCTGGCAAGACATATGCCGTTCACATGTGGTACCGAAATCCAAAAGAATATTCAACGGTTTTATAGCAGCAACAACTTAGGTAGTTAAAAACTTGTACAACACTGGCTGTAAATTTGGTGTCTCGAAAAGACGGTTATTTTTAAAAATCAATTATCAAATATGTACTATTTTAATGTTCCGTGTAAAGACATCCTGTTTTGACGAATGTTTGATGTAAAAATTATAACAAGTAGAATGATTATTGTAAGCTAACCGATAATATTAAATATAAGTTAAAAGTTAGTTTCATCATTGTATTGTCAAGGGATGATTCATTTACAATATTAGATAACAGAACCGTTCATCAACACGAGAACAAAAGATTAAAAACTATATAAAACTACATAGAATAAAATTACTAATTGAATTTTTTTTTCTAATTGTTACGATTTTTTAGAAAATTGTTCTAATAAAGACATCATAATATGGAATCTTTACTAGTTGAACTTATCATGATAAAATTAATATCATGAAATATTTGCCAGTGTGAGGATAAAACACTCCCACGATCGCTTCGGGAGCAGCTCTACTAGATTACATAGTAATTAGTATTATAACTTTATATCAATATCCTCTTAAAATTGTAATTGAACTTACGCTCAAGATTTTTAATTAAAATTGTCATTTTATAATAACACTTGAAACAAATAAAATTGAATCAAGTTTTTAGTGAACATTTCCAAATCAAAAATGTGTTAAATATTTTCCCAAGAGAAATAAACTATGTGATTTAAAATCTTGTAAGACCAACAATGTAGGTCTTAGGTCAAGGGATATATATATTATTATATTATTATAATAGTTTTTTGGTTTATGTTCAACGCATGGACATAGTCTAACATCTGGTCAAAGAAAACTGGCATACTGACACGTGTGTATGAATTTTGAAATGTCAAGATATTAAGAAGAGTCAGCAGGATCTTTGTAGTAATAAAAGCAATTGTTTTGAGCGGTAAATATTTTATTTGAAAATAAGTTTTACTTCAAAAGCCTATAACAAATAATGTGTGCTAAATAGTCTATATAAAAATATAGCCAATTTGAAAGATTTTTAAACATGCGTTACAACAAAAGAAACACAAGGTGATGAAAAAATGTCATAGTTTTATGCTGTTTAAGGCATTGCTAAAATCCTAATAAAATTTTAATACTTGCTCTAACTGTCAATATAAGAAATTTAAAAAATATATATATTTTTAAATATTTTGAGGCAAGGGCATATTTTATCAGTGGGACAAGTGTTATTTATATTTTATGAGCCGATAATTACGAAATATGTCCATATAGACCTTTTAGGTTTTGGTCATCACTTAGTTATATGGAAATATTTTAGCAAAAATTTTTATCTAGCATGCCTACTAAATTAAAAATAATAAAATGAGTCTCCTCTAATTTTAATTTTAATAATTCTTTCTTTCGAGAACTTATTTTAATAATTAGATGATATAAATAGTAGCCGGTACCAATCTACTGCACTAATCTTCAACAGATAAGTTTTTATTATGTGTAACAGTATTTATCCTCTCTGATCTAGATGTTTTTTTAATTTTTAAAAACTGTTTAGTAGTCAAAAATACATAAAATATTTTTGTATAAATGGATTAAATTAATGAATTTGATAAAAGATTTTTTTAAATTAGGTCCATTTTGCAATTTCAAAGCCGTAGGCCCTGTGGCGCAACGGATAACGCGTCTGACTACGGATCAGAAGATTCCAGGTTCGAATCCTGGCAGGGTCGCATTCATTTTTTGCTTAATCCGTACAGATCAATTATTTTTCATTTGTAAATATCATATTTCATGGCAATTCTATAGTTTTCAATTGACTTGTATTCTCAACTAATTTTCCTTTTGTTCTAACTCAACGTTAATTATTTGCAACAAGAAATTTCAGTAATTTATAAACTTAAAATCATCACTTAATTTTTTAATGATACAGTTTTTTTGATATATTACATAATAGTGTTAAGATTTCAAAAGAATTACACTTATACTATATTATGCACTAACAACGATTAATATGAATTATAATTACACTAATACATAGAAACTGACTTTATTAAATGTAAATATTTTTACGAATACAATTATCAAGCGATTTAAAAACACTCTTGGCATTGAAAAAGTAATGAAAGTAGTAAAATTAATATATTAAGAAATATATTGTGTCAACTAACATTTGCAACAGCGATTTCGGTTTAAGTATACTACGTACAGAATATGTTTATATTTACATTGATATCTTGTAGTACACTTTTTTTAAGTAAAATATTAAGAATACATTTCGAAATCATAAAATTTGATTTATTTCTATAAGTAAATAAAAAATATATAATAACGAGAAATAACAGCATTTTTAGTTATTAGTTAATAATCACAGTACTATACAAATTTGTAACGTATAGTTTTCATCTTCCCAAATCATAACACCTCATA